GGCAGCCCCCCTCCCCCCCTCCCTCGATCCCTTCCTCCTCTATACCCAGTTACGGCGCGAGAACCCCGCCCCGTTCTCGGGCTTCTGGCGGCATGACCCGAGGCGTCAGCTCCGCCCCCGCGGGGCCGACGAGGGAGAGGGCGAGGGGGGACTGAGTCCAGGAGTCCTACCCTCCACGTTGCCGGTGGGCGAGCCCGGACTCTCCTCAGCCGTGGCAGGCCGTGGGCGATCCCGTCTATCGACCCTCGCCCCCGCCATTGCCCTCTGTTGCTCCTCCCCTGAACGATTTCTGCGGGTGGCACGCGCCAACGGGGTGGTGGAGTCGAAGCCCATCAAAGGCACCGTCCGAAGGGGTCAGACCCCGGCTGAAGATGCCCGTTTGGCGGCCGGTCTGGCTGCATGCGAGAAGAACCGGGCGGAGAATTTGATGATCGTGGATCTGGTCCGCAACGACATCTCCCGCGTGACCCGTCCGGGCTCGGTTCAAGTGCCGCGACTCATGGCAGTGGAATCCTACGCCACCGTGCATCAACTTGTCTCCACCATCACCGGCGTGCTGGACGAAGGGAAGGATGCCATCGACGCCGTGATCGCCGCCTTCCCCGGGGGATCCATGACGGGGGCGCCCAAGAAGCGGACGATGGAGATCATTGATCGGCTGGAGGGAGGACAGGCCCGAGGTCCCTACAGCGGGGCGCTTGGGTACATCGCCATGGACGGTCTCGCCGCCGACCTGAGCATCGTGATTCGTACTGCCGTTTGTGCACCGGGCATAGTAACGGTCGGGGCAGGAGGCGCCATTGTCGCCCTGTCGGATAGGGAGAAGGAATACGAAGAGATGATGCTGAAAGCACAGGCAGTCGCGGGGGCGGTTGGTGGGAGACGGTCGAGGGAGGAGAAAGAAGAGGAGGAAGGAAGGGAGGGAGCGGGGGTGGAGTTGGAGATGGAAGATATGCTGCTTGTACAGTGATTTATGAGATTGGAGGGAGAGATATCAGGCGGGAAGGCTGAAATGTGCGTCGGGTAGAATACATTCACAGATAGTTGGATAGGTGGAGGGTTGGAGCGCGTACAGGTAATCATGTAGAGTAAGGTTGCCCGAAAAGTGTGACCAGGAAAAAGATTTTGCCAACGGGGCGAGAAAGGGAGCGACCGAGACTCGCAAAGCCCACAAACACACCATGTACCTTAATAAAATATTCACATATATATTCGAATGTTCTGCGAGTTTTCTTTTGTTTTCTCTGAGTAACATTTGTTTTCTTGCGTTCTTTCATGCATTGTGCTCCATCCTTGTCTTGATGGAATCTAGCAAAGACCCGGACTAGCGCCCTTGCCGTCGTCCTCATCCATCACTGTCTGCTTTGAGAAATCAAAATAGCCTTGCAAAAGCCCGTGGATAGTGAGGCAGGGACTGCTGGCAAACTCAAAGGACATCGCTGGGGAAGACTTTCGCAGAATATTCCTTTAAAACCCGAGTCATTTTGGCCTAAGGCGCCGACGTTCGTACGCCCATCCAGGGTAATTAGCCCAGCTTGTTTCGCTTTGTCTTCTGATTTCCTTTCTTTGGTTCTCCAATTTTGTATACAGTGTGACTGCACATGGTTTTTCTTCAACCGTTTCTCACATAACATTACACTTGCTCGGCGTATCCCGCCGCTTTAGGTACTTATCCATCTCCTCCTCAGTCATGCTGTGCGCCCGCATCTCTTCCTCTTTCCCTCCCGCCGTGAAGCCCATCAATCCTCCGTCTTTTCCCCTCGCCGTCAGCTTGTCGAGCATCGGATACACCTCTGGGAAAGAGAGGCGGGCCATGTCCTTGCGGATATAGAAGAGAATGTAGGCGGAGGGGTTCACCAACTCCTCCGCCGGAACCTCTTCCACCTATCAGTCGGATGCATGAGTAGAAGGATATGGATGTGTCAAAAGGGGGAAACTTCGGCACAGAAGAGGAATAAGGAGAGAAGAAACGTCCGTCGTCTGTACCGCCGGGGAAAAGGGTTCATCTCCTAGTGGAGGCACAGACCCTTCTTGACCCCACAAGACATGGTTGGAAGCCAGACAATGCCGAGACCGAGCATGCACTCACCCGCGCGTCGTTAAAGCAGTACCACTTCCCTCCTTGGTTGACCCGAATGGTGGAGACATAGTGCCCAGCCTGTAAAGCCCCGACGTGGTGGATGATGGCGTACAGGGTGTAACGCGAGGACGACGCAGAGGAGAGGCAGCAGGAACTCCCTGCCGAGGCAAGGCTCGGAGTGGGGGGGGGG